TATTAATGTTTGAATTACTGTTCAAATATATATTTAGACTGTCCAAACATGTTTTATTATTTTTTATATTGTAAAATTATTTTTGAAATCATCTAATCAAACAAATTTTTTATCTCAAAAAATATCAAAACTACTTTCTTAAAACTCTTCTCAAAAACTGTTTTCAGATACTAGTTTTTGAAACGCAAGCCAAACAGGCCCAAGGTTTTCCTCGAAAGCTCGTTGATGAAATAGATCATCTTTTATATATTCTTGTCTCNAATATCGAAACCACTTTTTTAAAACTCTTCTCAAAAATTATTTTTAGATACTATTTTTTAAAATATAAACCAAACATGCCTCAAAAATTTTCATCAACCTTCTTAATTTAAAAATGTAGAACAACGGTTAAAATTTAATTAAAAATTAAATATATGGTTAAGATGTCATCTAAACTCATCTCCTTGACTCACGATCCATTCCACCCAAATAAATTCTCCCGCCCACTTTAACCACACTCACATGCTACACATAACTCAAACCAAACCCAGCTGACCATCCCCATCCCAGGCGTCCTCTCTGTCTCTCTCTCACACACACAGAACTCCTCTGCCATGGCTAAACCAATATCAAAGATCTCCTCTCTTGCCCACTCCTCCTCTGCCATGGCTAAACCATTATCAAGGATCTCCTCTCTAACCCAGGTACACCTCTCTCTCGCTTTCTCTTTCTTTCTCTCTCTCTCTTGCCCAGGTACACATCAACAACCCACACACACACACACACACATATCACACAACACATATATCGTACACACACACCTCTTTCACATTTCTTTCAGCCAAATACATAACCATGAGCCGTTTATGAGCTGCAATCTTCCTGGCTTAAGACTTCCCGTCAAGTCTTTGCTGCAATTCAGATCCATTTGTAAGTCCTGGTATGATTTATTCACAGACCCAGATTTTATCTTGATGCAATTTCACTGTTCCAGTGTTTATACACCTAAACTCCTCAGTGTTTATTCACAGACCCAGAAACACATCGCCCACACACACACACCCCAGCACACATACACATCAACACACACACACACAAACATAAATTGATTTGATGATTTTGGTTTTAATTTGAGTCTTCATTTGGGTGTTGTTTTTTTTCACGACACACACACGGTTTTGGGGGTTTTAGAGGTGGGTTTTGTTTTGTTTCAGAGGTCAATTGATCACGGTTTTGGGGGTTTCAGAGGTGGGTTTCGTTTTGTTCCATAGTCAAGGTGCTTTGCTTTAGTTGCTTACAGGTTGTTTGAGAAAATAAATTGCAGGTTGTTTGAGTAAATTATCTCCTTGAGGTGTTTTCAATGTTTTGGTTTTAATTTGGTGTTTGAAAAATCAAAATCAGTGTAGTCTATGTGTCCTTTCCTCCCCAAAAATTTTCAAAAGCCCCCATCTATTTTACTTATATGAGACTTCCTATAAGTATTTAGTTTGCCTCTTCGAAATCTTTTTATGTATTCATAAGGGTTTTAGTGAAGAAATCATTTTTACATTTCGGCTTCCAAGACAAAGTTATTTACTTTATCAACGGGATACAAATGTGGGTTTTGAATATTATCCTTTAATTTCAATTAACTTGATGAAATTTAGGAAAAAGTTTGAAACAAAGTACTTAGGATTATGGGATTCAATTGAGATTTAGAGTAATTTGAGCTATACTATAGATCAGAATTAGGATTATGGGATTTTTTTNCATGTTATGTTTAGCGGCCAAGACCCATTAACTCATTTCATTTATCCATGTTCCTATTCTCATTACAATTTACAGCCATCTTTTAAACTCTCTAAAGTCTCAAAATTCACAAATTGATAACAACTCTTCAAACTTTCAAATCTCACAAACCTTCATCTCTAAGCCTCTCTCTCTCTCTCTCTCTCTTATATTTATGGCATGAAATTGTTTTTGCAGTTAACTGAATCTCATTGTTTTTCCTTAGAGAAGTAGTTTGAATACAATTCAGATCAACAATTTGCACACGTATAGCATGTACCATGGAAGCTAGTGTTACGACACTACAACACCTATAATGACAAGAACACACGATTCAACATGCCTTTGATAAAAAAAAATAAAAAAAAACAACATTAATTAATGGTGTTGGTTCTTCGTCGATTCTGAGCAATGGGAGGTACAAGGCTGTGCTTCATAGGTCAACAGTGAACAAAGAGAAGACAAGAATGTCATGGCCAGCGTTCTTGGAGCCACCACAGGAGCCGGAAGTAGGGCCACATCCTAAGCTTATTAGTGAGGAAAATCCCCCAAAGTACAAGACCAAGAAGTATCGTGACTATGTTTATTGTAAGCTCAACAAGATTCCCCAGTGAATGCATTAATTAGGTGTATTATATATGTTGGATATTCTCTCACAATATTCAAGTAGTACTTGAACTCGGCTGGTTTGGTTAGCTATTTTTGTTGGCATCCGAACATAATTGAGTACTTGTTATTCCTCTAAGTTCGGTCTCAATAGATTGTATGTTACCTTTGGGAAATTTTTTAATGCATTAATGCAACCTTTCTTATTAATTGTGTTTTGAGTTTTTTTTTAAAAAAAATTTCTTTTGGGGTGTGGGAGAGGAAGAATCATGGAAGAGGGGGGGACTGAATGTTAAAAGACTCGTGAGAATGAGGTGGAGGTAGAAATTCACCTAGCTAAGTGATTATTTAACCCTCGTGGTACGATTTATATGCATGTTGTGGGACGAGACTCGAACTTTCCTGGCTCAAGTTAGTTGAATGATTTACTTCCCATGGCTCTTGCCCTCTATGCGAAACAACATGAACCCAAATTGGTGCGGTAGCATGAGGTTATCCTTGTTCAGCAACTGAACACTTAATGAACCGCTTGGCAACGTTTTAATAATCTAGATGAATCTTAATACATGAATAATATATACTATAGCTGTGATTAAGCTTGGAACAAGGAAACAAATCGAGACAAGAAAAANGCTTGGCAACGTTTTCTACGTTACATTGTCAAAGAAAACAATTTTGTCCAAAAAACAAAAGTATTTTTAATAATCTAGATGAATCTTAATACATGAATAATATATACTATAGCTGTGATAAAGCTTGGAAGAAGGAAACAAATCGAGACAAGAAAAAAACAAAAAAAAAAAAAAGGTACGAAACACACGCTTCTTAACAAAACATAAAAAGGAAAAAAAAAAAAGAAAAGGTTGGAATGTACTCGAAAAAGTCTTCAAATGGTGAAGTTATTTAAGAAACACACACAAGCACAGAAAGTGAAGAAACTTTTATGCTTATTCCAGGTTCAGCATTTATTTCTGATGCAAACACTACTGAATTTTTTTGAAATGAAAAAACCACCTCTTGCTGTACTGGAAAATGAAAATAAATACGAAAAATGTACGTACACATCCGACAGAAGGTACGTGAAATAATTAACATTCCTCATCAGGAATAAAATTTTGGTCCACAAGCTTACTACCTTGTCACTGCACAATATTTCCGGGGCAGCAATTCTTCTCTCCCAACAGAAGAGGCACATTCACTAGTAAGAAATCATGAAAACAACGTCAAACTATCCATAAATGATTACTAGCAACCATAACAGCAAGGTTACACGCTAGCCCAAGGGACCTAATGTATGCCAAGGCATACTTATACTATGGCAACATCATTAAGCCTTGAAGGAACAATTAAAGAGACAAACATCAGTATGTTAGTTGTATGCTTTGGTCCAAACAGGTACGGAGTATATCAGGGTTCCCAAAGCAAATGAAATTAAAATTGTACTCACAGCATATGTGTATGCTCGCCAAGGGTTCTTGCTCTCTCTCATCGCTTGAAATTCGGCCATGAAAGTAGAAACAGTACTTAAACAGCCCAACATCCCAAACTGTATACCAGTTGCAACAGTATCGCTAGTTTTGGTTTTCACCTGTATCAAAGAAATCACAATTTGTGAAGATTAACAGGATAGTCAAACATACGGAAGACAAGGAAGTCAATGGTAGATGTAGATTGATGAAAGGGAGAACAATGTAGATGAATCATATAATGAAGCCTAACTGCTTTCTTCACTGTTGCAAGAGCTGCCATAGCACAAGCTGCCAATACATTGGCAATCAGAGTTCCGAAAGGAACCCATTTCAACAAACCCATTTTTCCTAAGCCACGTCCATTGAGTCGTGCCAAGAACCATCTGATCCATACACCAAGAGGCGCAACCATACAAGCCAACCAGAGCTGAGCTCCATGACTGCCACTGCTAAACTCTCTTATCTCCCAAGTTCCACTCAAACCGTATAACAAGCCTAGCATCAGTAACAGCACCACCACAACTGCCAAGTGGCGCTTGCAGTTGTCCACTTTCCAATTGCTTTTCGAGCTAGAGATGCCACATGTTGAACTTTTGATTAACCTCTGAAGAAGCCATTTGGCACCTCTGGCCGTCTCGATCCCAAAAATGATGGAATAGGCAGCAAGGAACAAGCCTGTAAAGAACTAGAGTAAGAAAGCTCATGTTGTACGGAATTAACATGCCACGTAGGGGGCTTGTATGTTGTCCAATATTGAATAGCCTCAAACAGGAGATCAATTTGGTACAAACAGATTGCTATACTTAAAAGGGCCAACTTATACATGTTACTTTTATATCCTATGCGCACCCTATCTATACCATGCACAAAATATTCGCTACAACACTACCTATCAGAATGCCGAGCACAGCGAAAACCCAATGTCCTTCAACACTGAGGTCAAGCATTTTCTGAATCCAACCACTGAATGTTGTGAGGCTTCCCAAATAACCAGTTGTCAATCCAATGGCTAATTGATCTGAGACTTTAGATATGTCTCTTTTAAAGACAACGCCCCACCACCCCATCAAGAATGAACCAACCTAAAAAAAATACACACAATGTTTGCTTGAGAACAATTGAGAAAACTATTAGAGGAAACTAAATTTATAAAAGACACCGGAAGGTGAAATGGCGACATATTTAAGTTGTTAGGCCTATATGTCACAGATCTAGATTATTTCTAACTATGTGTTTGACAAATTTATTGCACTCGATTTCATAGAAAAACACTGATTCTGTAAGCAAAATTAAACATAACAGAAAGCATAAAACTTGATGTTTCCAGATACGGCAATATTGAGCAAAGAATACTCCACCAAATCACCAACGTACATGAATAAAGTTACCAAAACTTAAACATGAGAGAAAATACATGTGCAAACTGCACAAATAGCTGCTCGTCCCTCTAAACTGACTTGATCTCTATCCTAGAGAATGATTCTCAGTACTCATACCACTGTAGGCAAAACATAAAAAAAAAAAAAAACAACCAAGTGTGATCCATATGTTGCACAAGAACTTTAGTTTATATGTGCCTATGAATTGAAGAAAGCACATTCACATGTCTCTGTGTAATTAAAAAAGGAGGGGGGGAGAGAGAGAGAGAGAGAGAGAGAGACCATATTTGAAGGAAGATCAAGGTACATATAGCTTTGGTCACTTGTTGCACCAACTCCCCCAGGGCCAAACAGTTTTTCCAGTAAATACCTTGTTAAGACCTGCAAAATATTAAAAAATCTGTCCCTTAACGTTGTCATAAAGATGCCATATCAAACACCCCTTCAGTCAGTAAGATTAGTTCATCTTGTCTCTAACATCATTAGAGAAATAAATAATAACTAAAATAATTATACTATCACTATCTAATCTCCAGAGTATTGTGAATTGTAAGTGTTAACCAAGAATAGTATTCTTTACATAAGTAGAGTAGCCAATTAGATGTCAATATGGATGTCTTGAAAGGCATATAGCTGGAACAACAAAATTTATTTGCAGAAACAAAGCAAAATCAGAGTATGATGAGCACCATAAATCATTTAGCCTCTTATGAACATGACTAACAAGAAATTCAATTTTGAAAATTCAGTGCTTTGTTAACATGTTGACAGCTGGCGTATATAAGGTTTGGTTCCAGCATTGATCAGTCATTAGGGCTAGGGATTTGCATGCAGAATAGTTATACATGTTAATTAGCAAATTGCACCGTGATCAAAGTGGAAAAAAGTAATGTAAAATTTCACACAAAATTTAAATTATCCACTGCCTAACTGAACACACTTTAAGAAATAAGAAATTCAGCATATTACCCCAAGAATGCCAAATAGAGCAAGATGAATGAGACATGATATATACTCCAATAACCATGGTAACTCTGTTGTATCCTCCTGCATATAGAAGTATGTGACACACCCAATAGTGGAAGAACAATTATAAATAGTATTGTATCATCAAACAGCCATGTAAGTGTACTGCAAGTTGAGAACTTTATTCCAATTTCCAAATCATTTCCATTAAGCACAGTTGTGAGAATTGAACACTCACATTCCTTTTGTTGACGGGGTGTGCAATTGCATCAGAGGAAAGAGGACATATTATTTCCAGTGTCGATGGGGTTACAGGGGACACAGTATTTGATACAGTGGGATCATAAAAGCGAAATCGATATGATTGCAACAGAACATCCTCTGGAATGGGAACAACACTACCATTTTCTACCACATTGTCAAAAGAGAAACGAAGCCTACCACTTCCACTGGACCTATTACTGTGAAGTGCCCGATCCCCAAAATCTCCTGCCTCTGAAACAAACTCACTTTCAATGTCATCATCTGGCCGAGGGGGAACATCATCTGATAAACTTAAAGAACGCCTCCTCAAAGAAGAAGCCACACTGCTTGCCTCACCAAAAGATCCACTTGGTCTCGGTAAAGAGTCTTTAGCCTCACAATCCATAATCCTTCTTCCAGAGTGACTGATCCATTCATATCACGATAAATTTAGAAGCCATAGCAATGGGAAATATATTATTCTTTGTCACAAGATATAGCCAACTACTTCACTAATGAATACTAACAAAATGTATGCGTAGCCACTCATGCCATCTGCTTAAATTTTAATAGCAAGAAGTTAATCTTGCAATAAATATACACATGCAGTAATGTGTTAAACATATAGAACGTGAGTCTATATAGTACAGATATTGGTAACATAAGAAACCAGTTATTAAATGACTTAGATAAGATGAAGACAATTAAAATTAACCGTGCAATAAAGCAACAAAAAGAAAAAGAAGAGATTTCCCACTTTCCACATTCTTGAAAACATGAAAAGTGTTAGCATTGGCCTGCAATATACAATTATTTACAAGTCCAAATAACTCATAAAAACGATGGCTGAATGCATGAGCTTCTGCTACTGCAGGGCCTGGGGACAGTCAAATGTAGATAGACTCGAACCCATAATCTTTAGGTCACAATGGAGCAATCATACTGTGCTGCCAAACTCCTCACTCCAAAGAATGCATAAAAATTGTTACAGCAAACTTTACTTTCAAAGACCACAGAACCATGTGCATAAGCCCATGTAAAATGCCATCTGTTACNTACAGCAAACTTTGCTTTCAAAGACCACAGAACCATGTGCATAAGCCCATGTAAAATGCCATCTGTTACGAATTTGGATGAGTCCTACAGAGTTTATTAGAATATAAAGATAGCAGTATTTGATTGAATCAATCATCTTTGTAGCCGCCAAGTCACCATTAGTAAAATCAAGTGCACCCATGTTTGAGCATCATAACCAAAATTGTATGCAACGCAAACTGTAAAAACTACCCTAATGAAAAGCAAAAGCAAAATTCATTTGCTTTAGAGTACAAGATGTGTCCTCCACTAGCAGAGCAAGAGAGAAAAGCAAAACTAAACACCACCGTGCCGTAAAGGTTTCTAATTCATGTCCACACATATTGAGAGCTCAAAAACAAAACAACTTAACAGTAAAAGGGACATGTAACGTCAAATAAAGGGTCCCAAAATCACAAAACAAAGATTATTTTTTCCCTTCCTTTTCACAATTAACTAAACGCACTTCAGAGAGAGAGACAAAGACAGATAAAGAGACAGAGCGGTAAGAGAATGAATTTTATAAATAAACACACAGCCAAAATACCCACCTCAAAAGCCCAACATGACAAATTAAGAATGTGTGTGTGTGTGTCTGTGTGTGTGTGTGTGTGTGAGAGAGAGAGAGAGAGAGAGAGTACCCATGAAAAGGAATCATTCAAAGGGCACAAAGCTCCAGCAGAAGAGAAACCAAATTTAACTCCTCCAAAGACTCCAATTCTGATAGTATTTCAAAAAACTAAGCAAATCTGTTCCGCAAACTAATTGGTTCGGGACTCGATTCAAGTTGTATGTGAGATATTCTCTGCGTACAACAATGGTCGTCAATGGGTGATGAGCCACCATTGAGTCATTAATCATTACACGCCTCTGCTTTCGGTGTTGACAGAGAGAGAGGCGGCGCACGGGTGGCCGCAAAGCGGTCATTCTTGGCCTCCACGCAATTTTTGACTGACTTCACGTGCATTAGTGTGGCGCTGATTTTTAACGATTTTAGGAAGTTTTTTTTTTTTCAGTAAATTTCACTAACACCCCTTGTATTTACATCATATTTCAACGACAGCACCTCCAATTTCTGAAATATCACTGCACACCACTATCAATTTTTTTCAGTTATTAAATCTACATTAAACTTCATCAAATTACTACCAAATCAATATTTAATCTGACCAAATTAACTATCTATTTTACAAATTTAACATTCAGTTTTATCAAATTAACATTAAATTTTATCAAATTAATACCAAATTAATATGAAGTTGATCTTTTTTTTTTTCTAAAGGAGGAGGAGGAGGACTTGAACCCTTAACTTCAAGAAGACAAAACTTTTATAAGGTAAGGAGTATCATTAGATCAAAGGTCCATTANAAAAATTTAACATTCAGTTTTATCAAATCAACATTAAATTTTATCAAATTAATATCAAATTAATATGAAATTGATCCTTTTTTTTTCTAAAGGAAGAGGAGGAGGACTTGAACCATTGACCTCAAGAAGACAAAACTTTTATAAGGTAAGGAGTATCATTAGATCAAAGGTCCATTAGTATGAAATTGATCTTAAATTTTATCAAATTATCATTTTATTTCATCAAATTAAAATTCAATCTCCTTCAAAAGATATTGAATTTTATTAACATCAAATTAATATTTAATTTTATCAATTTAAAATTTTTATTTCATTAAATTAACACAAGATTAATATTTAATTTTATTGTATTTACATTCAATTTTATCAAATTAAAATCAATTATTTTTAATCCAAAACTAACATTAAATTTCATTAGATCAAATACTATTTTATAAAATTAAAATTCAATTTCGTGAATTGAACATTTAATTTTACTAAACTAAAATTATTTATTTAATTTAACACTAAATTAACTTTTAATTTTATCAAATTAACATTTAATTTTGATGATACCTCAAAATAAATCTCAAATGTCAGCTCAAGAGGTCAGCTCAGCCCAGGAGGTCAGACTAGACGAACAAAACTCAAAAGAGTAGAGCTGGAGGTCCCTTCGAGATAAGTAAGGGCAATAACAACCAAGACAACAACTGGAAGATCACGAGAGGTTCCTAAAAATGTTAGGAGGCTATAATCAAGACACCTAATCTCAACCAACCAAGATCTTCTCCTAGAATTAGGGAGAATCCCACGAAATAAGGGCAAGAATTTCAGTCAAGATCCCACTTAGCAGGGAATGACCCTATAAATGTATTATAACACCTCCTAACATAGAGAAGACCCTAGTGGCAAGAGAAAGTCATAGCAGCTTTGTAATCATAGTGAATAATATAGAAGGAGCAAGAACCTCCATTGAAGAGTGGACTAGCCGAGCTTCTGAGCCGGTAAACCACTATATTTTTACTGTGTGCACCCTGTTAATTGCCTGAATATTTTATCAGTTAGCATCATATACAAGCCTCATAGTTTTGATCCACGCTCACCTCACATTATTTTTACCTTAAGCTCTTCCACGTTGGTATTCACCATCAGTTTGGCGCCGTCTGTGGAAAAGACTATTCCTATTATGAATAAAGCTGATTTTTCAGTGACTGATGGTATCAAGGCGAAACATGAGCCGAAGTCAGACCAATCCTCTACGGATGCAAGATTAACAGGAATCCGCAAATAACTGATGATCTAAAAATGCTCAAGAAGCAGATCCCTCCATGGGGGGCATCTCCATGAATAATGAGATGGAGGCCCTTTGTCTTGTCAATGAACGTCTGATAAAACAAAACGAAGAGCTCTTAAAGCTCCTACAACACCCACAGGAGGCTCAACCGGCCCAAGGAGGCCAGAATAAACCACCACCAAGAGAGCAATCGCATCTCAACCCCCTCAGAGAAGTTAATGAGGTGGGAGAGAATAGCTAGACCTTGGGACAAGAAATCTCGCCTACCCCTAGGAATGGTCACAATGAGGAAGTGTAAAGTCAGTATAAGGAAGGGAAGAGGAGCGACATCTTCCCTTATCAACAGGAGAGAAGAGAACACCACTGGGAGCAACGTTTCAAAAACATCCAGCAAGAGCTCAGCCAGATGAAGGAGGCAGTGAAGAGCAAGGCCCCAGTCACTATGGATGCCTTGGTGCAGCAAACTGAATCCTCATTCACTGCTAAGGTGCTGCATTTCCCTCTCCCACATAAATTCAGAATGCCACAAGTGGATGCTTTCGATAGGACAAAAGATCCCATGAACTATCTAAACACCTACAAAAACCAAATGGAGTTGCATGGATATCAAGATCCAGTGAGATGCAGGGCCTTTGCTATCACTCTAAAGGGCTCAGCCTTAGCATGGTTCAACAGACTCCTCCCAGTCTCGATTTCCTCTTTTAAAGAGCTGTCAATCTCGTTTGTGTCCCACTTCATCGCAGCTCGGACCTATAGGAAACCAAGCTACCATTTGTTAAACATGAAACAGGGACTTGATGAGAACCTACGATCTTATGTCCAACGGTTCAACTCAGAATCCTTGAAGGTGGATGTCCTAGACGAAAAATTTGCTATTACAGCCTTCATAGCAGGTCTGGGAGTTCAGTCAAAAGATCTGATGTTTTTCATCTCAAAGAACCCCCAAGCTAGTATGGCGGAGGTGCTCGCCAAAGCAGAAAAGTACATAAATGGTGAGGAAGTGCTCCTCTCCAAGGTCGGGAGCTCTTCGTTGAGAAAGGAGAAAGGGAAGGAAGAAAAGAAGAGAGAACGAAGTCCCATAAAAGAAAGAGAACGAGGCAGGTCTCCAAGAAGAGATAGAGAGCGTTCCCTGAAAAGAAGAGGAAATGTCAGGAATCGCCTCAGCCCTCCACAACCAGAGCTACAACAAAAGTATACACCCCGACAGCTTACTCCCCTGACAGCTACGGTGTCTCAGATACTATATGAGGTGCAAAATGAGATGTTCTTAAGGTGGTCACCCCGGATGAAAGCAGACCCGGCAAAAAGGGATCCTACAAAATTTTGTGACTTCCACAGAGACCATGGTCATCACACCGACGACTGTATCTAATTGAGGAAGGAAATAAAACTTCTAATCCAACGAGGTCAGTTGCGACGCTACATGGCCAATGATAATCAAAACCGAGCTCTCCTACCCCCCCAGCGGCAAGCACCAGAGCCACACCAGCAACCTATGGGGGAGATCAGAGTGATATCTGGAGGATTTGCCAGAGGATAAGGGTCCAGCTCTGCTAGAAAGGTCCACTTGCGAAAAATCAGAGCCATAGAAGCTCCCAAAGTATATACTGTGTCTAAGTCTCCATGCTTAGACATAGATATCACTTTCTCAAATTCAGATCTGAAGGGCTGCTAACATCCCCATGATGACCCTTTGGTGGTAAGAGCTGTGGTGGCCAACAAGGCTATCCATCGTGTTTTGATTGACAATGACAGCTCGGTAGACATCATTTTTGCTTCTGCTTTCGACAAAATGGATATAGAAAGGAAAAAGCTTGAACTAGTAAGTGCTTACCTATTGGGATTCTTAGGAGAAAGGGTACTGCCTCTAGGGTCAATCCAACTCATCTTGACCTTAGGTGACCCACCCTGTCAGACTACACCAACTGTGAAATTCCTAGTGGTTGATGCACCTTCAACATACAATATGCTCCTTGGAAGACCCTCGCTCAATTCTATAAGGGCTATTCCCTCTGCCTATCAACTTGTAGTAAAGTTTCCAACAGAAAACGGAGTTGGAATGGTCCGAGGGGACCAGCGCGTAGCACGGGAATGCTACATGGCATCCATGAGAAATAAGGAGGTTGAGAGCATCCAATTGGATGAGCTTGACATGAGGGATGAACTCGAGACCAGGCCAACACCATCAGAAGAGCTGGAACCTATTCAAGTTGATGAGGAGCCAGAGCATCTTGTTTACGTTGGATCCAAGCTGAGCAAGGAGGTGAAAGATCTCCTTATCCAATTTCTGAAAAGGAACAAGGAAGTTTTTTCATGGAAGCAAGAGGACATGAACGGGATTGATCTCTCTGTCATCACTCACAAGCTCAGCGTGAATCCAGCCTGTAAGCCCGTTAAGCAGAAGAGGAGGAGCTTCGCCGCGGAGCGTCATAAAGCCATCAACGAAGAGGTCAACAAGCTCCTTCACACGAAAGCCATTCGAGAAGTGGATTACCCAGTCTGGCTAGCCAATGTAGTCCTAGTCAAGAAAACAAACGGCAAATGACATCTTTGCATTGACTTTACAGACCTCAACCGTGCTTGCCCGAAAGATAATTTTCCTTTACCCCGGATAGATTTGATTGTAGATGTCACTGCGGGACATGAGCTCCTCAGCTTCATGGATGCCTTCTCGGGGTACAATCAGATTAGGATGGATCCCAGCAACCAAGAGAAGACCTCATTTATAACCAAGCAAGGGACGTACTACTATCAAGTGATGCCTTTCGGGTTAAAAAATACAGGAGCCACCTACCAGCACCTGGTGAATAAGATATTTCAAAAATAGATTGGGACCTCCATGGAGGTCTATATTGACGACATGCTAGTTAAGTCACTGAAGGCAGAGCTCCACATTGGGCACCTAGCATAGTCGTTTCAGGTCCTGAGAGAATACAAGATGAAGCTCAACCCAATTAAGTGTGCCTTTGGGGTGTCAGCAGGAAAATTTTTGGGCTTTATAGTTAATAGCAAAGGGATAGAGGCTAACCCAGAAAAGGTAAAAGTAGTGTTGGATATGTAGCCTCCCTCCAACACAAGGGAAATACAGCGTTTAACCGGAAGAATAGCTGCCCTGAGTCGCTTCATTTTTAGATCACGAGACAAGTGTCAGCCCTTTTTTCGAGTCTTAAAGAAAGCTTTTCAATGGGATGCTTGGTGTGAAGAAGCCTTCAAAGCATTGAAAGAATACTTGAGCTCCCCACCTGTCTTGGTAAGTCCGTTAAAAAGAGAAGTACTTACCCTTTACCTGGCTAT